GGCAAAATGTTCCTTCGAGCTGTACACTGTGATGAAAAGGTGATTGATTGATGATAACAAGTGAGTGATAACTGTCCACGCAGCATCACTCAGCCTGCAAATATGATTGGGTCAACAGGCAAACCGATTCTCAGCAGAAAAACTGTTAATCATTGAAAGAGCCTTATCAGAAAATGTGATTGATTTACAAAGAGCATTGCTCTAAATGTTTATAGATGCAATTGTTTACTTGCGTGATGTGCACAGAGCTACTTGAGCTTTTGTAATGTAATGAAAGTAACAAAGCAGCTTGATCATTTCAGTAGCATACGTTCTCAAATAGCATTTAATCCCATAAAACTGATCACTTGATATTGATAGTAGGACAAAATCCTATCAGTGGCCTTATCGTGTTTTTGATGAAAAGCATGACATAGACAGAGATAAGCAGAAAGTAACAGCAAAGGTTGGCCAAATGTGACCTTTTTTTGCCAAACATATTATTACCCAATGATTTTGAGTTTTAAACTTGAATACTTTATGGAGAGGCTGTGCAATATTAGGCCCTAGGGGTTTATGATTACCTAGACTACAAATACCCTGATGGGTGAGGACTATGGGAACTTCATAGATAACTGTCTCTGTTAATCGTTACGGAAGATGATGGTTCTGTCTCAGGTGCCTCTTAAGAAAATGGCTTTGCCTTGAGTTACATAGTATCTATTTTAAAATGAAAAAACACTGCTAAAAGATTGACTTTACAGTATCATGCATTTGTTTAAATGCATTGGAACTAAAGTCAGAAATTCTACATTTAAAAATGCAAACAATGTGGAAAAGAAAAAAAAAGTTGTCACAAGAAAGAAAGTGAATTCTTTCTTTTAGAAAGTGTTGTTTTAGAATGAAAATATATGTCCTTTGCTTGTACGGTTTTTGGGTTAAAACCCAGGGAAAAACTTAATCATAAAGTCTCTAACAACATTGTGAATTACTACTTGGCAGGAATTACAGATTTTGCTTGTAAATCCTCTTCATTTGCACCTGGTTATGTATTAAAAACTTAACTGCTTGAACTTACTCTTTGTGAGCAATAGGTCGCATGACACGTTTCTCCATTTCTTGATGCTGACAACAGTTTGATTAGCAAAAACTTTGAATTCTTTCTTCTGTTCTTGCTTTATTCTCAAAATTAGTTTTTAAAATCAAATATGAACCATCAAAGAAAAAAACAGAATGAATGAAATGAAATGCTTGTAATATTTAGCATAGACCATTGATTTACATTTTGACAGGCCTTTAAAAAGCCCAACAGCCTGATGAAACTAAAAAAAAGAAAAGTTTAGACCGAGGGGAGGGGCATTATCCACGCTTATCCTATCGGCCCCTTCATGCTCAGTAGAGAGATACATTTCAGAAGTCTTACATTAGTTGATATTAACACTGCAGCATTAAATGCCATGTTTCAGATAGCATTAGTATTCAGTAAAAGTAAATATTTTTCCCCAAAAGGGCATGAGCTGTGTGGTTCGCAGGTAACCAACCAATCTGTTGACAATCTGCTATGTGTTCACTATGTCACCATACTCACATATCTGTGCCACATATCAATCCACAGAGGCTTTTCTACTGGCCTCAACTGTGCTTTAGTAAGCATATTGCTGCCGTCTTCTCCCATTCTTATAAAAGGCACAAAGCCTCAATTGTTCAAAATCAAAAGAAAGTAATTCATATTCCCATGTAAAACACGTTCGCGAGTACTCCAAGAGGATGTTATTCCATCTAGGCCACCGGTTCCCACAAGATGTGAATTGCATATCCACCTTTGTAGTGCTACTTGTTATTCCCATTTGGTCAGACAGGTGAAATGAAAAAGAGTCATTGGAGGGAAAGTACAAATAGGCAGTGGTTGCAAATGGAGTTTGGTCAGTGGTCGGAGATCCTTATTGTGGAGATAGACAGGACTTTGTTCACAAACTGGAGTTTGAAGTTTCAAAGGGGAAAATAGGCAGAGGAGTTACATCAACCCTCTGACTTTTAGCCCCAGGCAGGCGGTATGGGTGACTGATTATTGGACATGACATTGCTGCCTCATATCACACTGAGGAGACGATCAGGGTAGGACATGTGCTATGTCATATTGTCTTCTGTGATGAGACTCAAAGTACGATTGCACCACGCTGCAGTGCGCATGTAAACGTCCGCCTTCCAACATTGATCAGATAATGGAGGAAAATTCTGACCGTTTGATGAGGGATGTTTTCAGTTTGAGGGAGTTTCTTTGAATTTGATGTACTAGTTCGGTCTGAGGGTTCGGTTTCTGTGTCATCACTGATACAGGAACAGACACTTAAAGGGATACTCCACCCAAAAATGAAAATTCTGTCATCATTTACTCAACCTCAAGTTGTTCCAAACCTGTAAGAATTTCTTTCTTCTGCTGAACACAAAAGAAGATATTTTGAAGAATGTCGGTAACCAAACAGTTGATGGACCCTATTGACTTCCAGAGAATCCATCAACTGTTTGGTTACTGACATTCTTCAAAATATCTTCTTTTGTGTTCAGCAGAATCCTTTTTTCAAATTAAATACGTAATTTACACCTGTGGCCTGCCACGTTAATAAAAGTCTGAGTGACACAAATGCCAGTTAATGAATACATAAACCAACCTTAATCCACATCAGCACATTCTGCAGATGTAAATCTGTTAAATAGGTTTGTTCACCAAGAGGCTTTTGCCCATGTGAGGTAATGATCTAATGTAGTTATCTACACCTTCCTGCTCTGATCATTGAGGTGCATGTGAGAAAGGGCCATAACTTCACAGATTATTCTTTATAGAGGCCATGCCTTAGTTAACAGAAACACAGAGATGTACGCTGTGATAAGGAATTTAATGGTGACTCAGATAAGATTTGTTCATTGTGAGTCATTCCTGTACACTGATTGTCATTACTCAGGTTAATCGCTGGAGAAGTAAAGTCATCTTGCTTCCAGAAATAAGGAAGACTAATAAGTATTACTGATCCATAGGCTAAAAACATGCAGTTCTTGTTCAAATTTGTTACATTTATTTTGAGATGTAAGATCATCATGCTGTCAGAGCTTTAGGTAAAGCATCAAAGCAAGCAACTACTGCACAGTCTTGTATTCTTATGAATATATATGTATTTATTTTATATTCTTTAATATCTCTATGAATATGCAAGTGGCTAATGTCCCTGAAATATATTCAAACCAGCTATCTTGTAAGTTTAGGTGTTTTCCAGCCTGTTTAAAACCAGCTCAGCGTATTTAGTGGGTCAGGTGGGATGTGCTATTTTCTGATAATAAACAATGTCAGGGCTGTTTTAGCAAGCTCAACATAAAACATATAACCCCACATTCTCATTAAATTTCATGCAGTGGAGTAATTTAATTTAAATAGAAAAAAAAAACACGAAACGCTACTGTGCCACACTAATTAGAGTAATGACGGATCTAAAACAAACTTGCATTCATTTACACAAAAAAAATATATAGAATTATTTTTTATTTTTTTTACCTCATTGCCATTTTTTTTTTTTTAAGAATAAACCTCATAACATTTTTATCTATTCTTAAAACCAGAACTCCAGTTTTCCAATAGAGTAAAAAAAAGTTTTAGAGGCTATCTGGAAGGTCTGAACTGAAGAACGATGACCCATGGCTTGTCATGTTGCTTTCTACACTACACTTGCCTCTGTTTGCATTGGCCCTGATACTTATGTACTTGAAGTTGGTATTTGCGTAACTGTAACATCAAACTTTCCTGTTTGAGTAACAAATAGTTTTATCCTCTCTAAGAAGGGTTAGGACAACATAGACTGCAACATATATGATCACCTCAGTTTTTTCCTTATCTCATGGTGATTTGGACACTGTTGTGTCAGAATCTTTGCAGAATAAGGCCTAGTTTACGTCTAGAATGCCAATGTGTGGAGACGATATCTTGTGTAAAGAAGTTTTGAAATTTGAATGGGAAAATAATCAAATAATATGTAATGTAAAATGGTACAATAAAAACCTGTTAATTGGTTAACTGTGAGTTACCTTACTATATACCCTCAAAAATGATTTGATATTAAATAGGACATGCAAGTACTGTAAAATATTCCCAAAAAAATCTTGAAGCATGAATTGCCGTATAATTTACAGTCAAAATAAAAACATGAATAAATAAAAAATATATGTATTATCTAACTATTAACTATTTATTAGGTTGATATTTTAACATTTAGGTATATTAATAATAATAAAAATAATAAAGTGATTATAAGTGATAATACAATTATTGTGGATGTGTTTATTTACTTGTGAACTATACAATAAATAACCACCAAAATGCATGAAACAGTAATGCATTAAACATTATTGTCACCACATTTTGTTTAACCATTTCTTCTGGCAACCACAGCTGCCAGTGTTTTACTGCAAATTTACCAAGTTATTTTTCGCAGTACCAAATGCTAGTTTGCATAGTTTGATGCAACTGGAACTGAGTTGTGCATCACGTGCACATTTAGAATGTTCAACAGAACAATGAGCTCTTTTACATAAAGGCCACAATTTTTACTCGGTGCGAGTTATAGCTGTTGTTTATTGTGCTAGAATTAACAGAGATTTAGCAAACACGTAATTTGCTCGTTGAAATGTGGACCATTACTCTCAATCTTATACATTCGAGTTGAATGTGAGTGATCTTTTTGTACTGTCTAAAATGTGTCAAGAACTAGAGAAAGTAAAGTGCTGAGACCGGCTATTTTGTCCAGTAATGAATTTGAGACAAACAGACATTAAAATAAGACAGTAAAAACCCCTGTTTGTCTCCGTCTCTGGAAAAAAAAAACAACAACTCTGATTTAGCACTTCAATCATTAACACAAGGGCCATCCCACTACAGAGCGGGGCCGTGCCCTGGGAGGAGGCCCGGACTGTCAGTCACAGCAAGCCTCATCTTTGCCCTTGAGGACATGGCCCCTGTCACTCAGAGGTGTCTACCCCTCCGAGAGGAGAGGAGGGGCTTGGCCTATGAGGGGGTGTCCGAATGCTGTAGAGAGGACAAGTCTTTCCCCCAGCATCAGGTAGTTGAGAATGCGTTTGTCCAAACCACTAGTAGACATGGAGATGGCAGACTATAGCGAGGCCTTGGACCCAGCCTACACCACCCTGGAGTTTGAGAACATGCAAGTGCTTGCGATGAGCACAGGTGAGTCATCTGCTCAGACCCTGCAGTGAACTTTGAGACCTTTAGTGACTTAGACTGCTTTATAGTATATGGTCAAGCGTGGGAGGCAGATGTTTAACAGGGTTGATAGGGTTATAGTTAAGTGCCAATTGGCAAGTTCATAACCTCTTGCACAGAACACCCAATACTGATTGTAAAAGCCCATTCGAAATGCATTTTTCAGGAGAAGATAAGAAGCAGAACATGCTCTGTCCTGCAGACATGGTACTCTATAAGGAGAAGAGGTTCATTCATCTCCTCTCGCTTGTTCTCATACAGTTGGCTTGGGATAAAATGACTTGTTTGGATAGTATTTCAAGAAAAAGTTTGACACCAGGATGAATGATTACTGAGCAAAGGGGGTGTCATGTAAATGTTTTGCAGCGAAGTCTCCCATGTCTAGGTTTTGTGCAACAAATTGATATTCAACCACTGTCAACATGACCTGACAAAGTAATCTAATATCTATGGTAAAGTTATATCTAAAGTTTTAATGAAGTAGTAAGAGTCTAATTTATAAAATGTTTACATTTTGAGTATATACTCAAATATAAACATAAATGTATGTGTATATATATATATTTTTTTTTTTTACTGTTACATTGGCATTTATTGGTGAGGTTATTTATTCAATAGAGTATATACAATTATCAATTATTTTAATTATTATTCAAATGTTTTTTTAAATAATGAAATATAGCCATTTTTTTCATCACACATTATACTTTTTTTCTTGTAACATTTTTAATCACATTTATTTTTAAGCAGTTCACAAATTGTTTTCCATTTAGATAATCATGACATAATCACTGATGAGTCATTTAACCAGATTTTGCCTTTGATCACTGCTGGGGTTTTAATGTAATTATCTCTGATTACCTCTAACCTAAAAATGAACACTTAACAACTCACACATCTTTCCTTTGAAATCATGAATGTTTCAATGATTTCTGTCTTCACCATATACAATTTGTTTTCTAGAATTTCTGTTCAATTGTTCAATTTCTGCTGAATTTGTTTAGTAGGTCATCAAGAACACTAATAAGAGTTTATATAATACAACATGATCTTGTTTTAGCTTTTGTACAGGTTTAGTCCTAATCACTTCTGGATTACTTAGCAAACGGTCCTTTCCAGCACATGTTCTTGATGATGATTCACTGCCAATTGATTTAGCTGTAAAAATGTCTTTTTGGGAGTGCTTTTCACCCCATGACCTTTTCCCTATTTACTTTAACTCTGATTGGTCTGGAATCAGGAGTCTGACTGGTTCAATCTGCAACCCAGATATTTAAGCCTCATTCAGAAAAAGATATATTTCACAGCCTCACATATATTTTATTTATTTTGAGTCTCGGGTTTTAAGCAGCTCTGCTTTCTCACACTGTTTTTGTTGCATGATTTGAAAAACAAAAAGCATACTTGTGACACTAAATTCAAGATCCCGCATGATTTCAGACTCCTCACCAGCTGAGAGTGCCAGCATGAATGCTGCCAACCACTTAGGGGTGGGCACCCTATGTGCCATCTGTGGGGACCGGGCCACAGGAAAGCACTACGGAGCCTCCAGCTGTGATGGATGCAAGGGGTTCTTCAGACGCAGTGTACGCAAAAACCACATGTACTCCTGCAGGTTAGAAAAAAAACAACCTCTTTGGCTAAATTTTGCATATATAATTTGCAGAATTCTGCAAGTTTCCATCCATAGTGTCAAATGACTTTTTATGCTTCTGTACAGGTTCAACAGACAGTGCATAGTGGACAAAGACAAGAGAAATCAGTGCCGGTACTGCAGACTAAAGAAATGTTTTCGAGCTGGGATGAAGAAGGAAGGTACTTGCTCATGCTGTGTTATTACATTCACACAATGCTACCAAAGAAATAAAAAAAAAAACACAGAGATTAAACGCTCCTGGCCTGTTTGGAAGGTTTGGGGATGAGGTGGTGCAAATGGGAGATGTTGCAACAGCAGGGAGAGAGTTAGCGAGAGACATTTTGTTAATGTTCACTCAAAAATGCACTGAGGTCTATGTCTGGTTTATGCTGAACAAACAGTTTAGAGCCATCATAACCGCACACTGATAAAAAAGCGCAACCTTGAGGACTCCCCCCTCTCACAAAGTCAGCTAATATCCCTCATCTCTGCTATCTCGATTGGTTGTCGGAACTGGGTGGCATTCACTGCTACTGATAACCAAAGAGTATGTTTCAGTGGTTTGCCAAGAGCTGCTTTTGTCTGTACAACATCCATATTGGTAAAATAAACCTTCTCTGTGTTTTGTTTTTTAATGAATGCAACTTTAATTTGCTGATTGAAAGTGTTCCTTTCAGCTGTGCAGAATGAAAGAGACAGGATTAGCACCAGAAGATCCAGCTATGAAGACAGCAGCTTACCCTCCATAAACGCACTCATTCAGGCCGATGTCCTTTCTAGACAGGTACGTAGTGTAATTCAAATTGAAATACTCTATTAGCAAATGTTGAGAAATATTAAAGGTTAATTGTGTAAAATATGTTCTCTCAACCCAGTTTAATATGCAGAGACTGGGAATGAGACATCTGCAGGTTGATTCTTCTGAAAACTGTAAATCAGCCCAATTCTGGGGGGTAGAAATCACATTCCAAAGGGTAAAATTTGAGAACCTGCAGACTAGAAAAAATAGAAAAGAACCACCGCTCATCCGTCAAAAATGTCTTGTAGAGAGGTGCTGCTACATTAAATCATCAGGAATTGTAAAAATACAGCAGCCGCACACTCAAAACACTGTGCAAAATCAATTTTTTTGCAAAATTGATCAAAATTGATTTTGCACAGTGTTTTGAGTGTGCGGCTGCTGTATTTTTACAGAACATGCAGACTAAAAAAACAACCAGCAGCAACAGTGTAAAAGTGGCCCAATTGCATGGGAAAACCACGCTTTTGGCAACACTGACTGTGGAGCACAACATTGCTCTGTTTGATTGAGCATCCCAATTAGAACCGCATAGCAACACTGCCTCAACCAATGGTATAAGTTTGGGGACTATCTGACCAATAGTAGATCGGGGGATTGTTTAGGAAACCTGTTCAGAAACAGTCAATATTTCTGCAATTCAACTGGGTGTTGCTATTATATATTTTGTATTTATAATAGGATTTATATTTATAACATAATTATACATATACATATATGTAAAATCTCTAAATAATAAGTATAATAATAAATTAATAATAATTTTATAAATTAATAATTAAAAACTATTATGTAGATCTCATCACCAGGTCCTATCATGAACGGTGACATCAGAACGAAGAAGGTCGCCACTATAACCGATGTTTGCGAGTCAATGAAACAGCAGCTGCTGGTGCTGGTGGAATGGGCCAAATACATCCCTGCATTCTGTGACCTCCCCCTGGATGATCAGGTAGGATAGACACCTCTTATTTAGCTAAAAATATGCTCCCACAATATATATTTCATAGATAATGGTGTGAATTGATTGAAATTTTTGTAGTTGGAAATAAAGTTCAGAGATCTTAAGTGTTGGTGGTTAATGTATTCAGATGGCTCAGGTTAGAATATGATGAGCTGGTTTGAAAGTTACATCTCTTCTTGAGACATTTCGAATCATTAACATGCTGAGCACTGAGGCATGGTAAATGATCAGTGTTTTAGCTGTGGGTGAGACCGTCTGAAACTGCATCTTCTCACACAAACATGCACGTGAAAACACGCATGCGTATATGGTCACGAAGACCTTATTTTGCCCCCAGATGCGTTAAATCTTAAGTGAAAATAATGTTATTATGGTCATAAAAATGACTCTAACCAAACAAATGCATGTTCATTTGTCTCAGGTGGCTTTACTGAGAGCTCACGCTGGTGAGCATCTCTTACTAGGAGCTGCCAAACGCTCCATGCTGTATAAGGATATTTTACTATTAGGTAAGTAAAAAAAGCAAAACACATTGGTAAACACATTCTTCTGGAGAGCAGAATTTTACCTCACAATTTTCCGTGTTTCGCCCAGGTAATGATTATATAGTTCCTCGAAACTGCCCTGAATTGGAGGTGAGCCGTGTGGCTATAAGGATCCTTGACGAATTAGTCCTTCCCTTCCAAGATCTCCAGATCGATGACAATGAATATGCCTGCTTGAAGGCCATTGTATTTTTTGATCCAGGTATACAACAAATTGTCCTAAAAAGAGACAAAGCACAACAGATTGTCAAGTGAGTTTTCAAACTCATCTAATGTGATGGTCTTTCTCTAATCATGTAGATTCCAAAGGTTTAAGCGACCCAAGCAAGATCAAACGTATGCGATATCAAGTTCAAGTTAGTTTGGAGGACTACATCAATGATCGTCAGTATGACTCACGGGGACGGTTCGGCGAGCTGCTTCTCCTGTTGCCGACGCTACAGAGTATCACCTGGCAAATGATCGAGCAAATCCAGTTTGTTAAATTGTTTGGGATGGCGAAGATAGACAACCTGCTACAAGAGATGCTTTTAGGAGGTAACTGATTTCTTTTTGAAAAGAAAGAAGTTGTAGAAGTGAAAATTCATGGTTATCAGACAACTGTGGCACTGCACTCTTGTTCTGTAAATGACTTTTAACTTTGAATAGCTTTCAAAACCTGCAGTATCTGGGACGCATCATGAAACATCTGGGAACAGCAAGAACAGCTTGTTATTATCTTGAAAACCGAGATAAAAAAGGCAGCCTATACATGTAGATCCTATTGACTGAAAAAACAAGTTATTTGATTCACACTTGAAAATTATCTTCCCAATCCGACATTTAATTACCCTCTTTTCCTGTCAGGTTCAGCTAATGAAGCTCCTCATTCCCATCACTCTTTACACCCACATCTGGTCCAGGAGCACCTCAGTAGCAATGTCATAGTTACCACCAACATGGCCACTTCGATTCACAATGGGCAGATGTGTAAGTAACTGCATCTTCTTGAAGTGAATTAATGAACATTTGTTATGAATAAAGATCTAACAGAGAATACAGGTCCTTAAAATGTGAGAATCAGGTATGGACAAACAGGCTTGTTGGAGTAATCCCTGCCAGAATCATAGAAACTAATCAGGCTTATTTTGTCAAAGAAGGCTACTGTAATTCTTTCCTACCCTAATGCCTTCAGAAATTTCATAAGCGTGCTTATTTCGTGTCAACCAGTGGTTTCTTTTTTTCACATGTTATCATGCTGTGTAAATTATGTCTATTTAAGGTTCCATAATACCCCCATGCGGACCCCTGAGCTAATGCATCCTCTTGCTCTTTTTCCAAACAGCCACTCCGGAAACTCCAATCCCATCTCCCCCCACAGCCTCAGGTTCTGATCTCTACAAAATGGCTCCTGGGGTTATAGCCACAGTTCCCAAGCAGCCAAGCTCTATCCCTCAATCTACCATCACTAAACAAGAGGCCATCTGAGTGCACAAACAAAGCTTTTTTTTTAAAAAGAAAAACAAAAAACTGGGTACTTTTAATAGGCTGTGCTAAGCGTGACAATTCATTCTCATAAACATTTGGACACAGTAAAACTGATTTATATTCACAAGCTGTTAAATTTAAGGTTTTTAGTAAAGACACTGCAAATGTTTCAGATTTTCCCATTTTAAGAACTTTAATCCAAAATAATAGAGTTTGACGGTGTGTAACAATCACACTTTAAATGTATATGTTAATCCCATCTCATCTGTTTGCTGTATGTATGTTTAAAACAAACTGGTGGTGCATATTTATACAACCTAAGCCTAAGGGGTCACAACAGCATTCAAAAAGTCAGAAAGGAAGTTATAATACAAAGGATATGCAAGTTTTCTTCTCCTTTCAATGAGTTTGAGTTCCATAAATGTTACAGCAGGCCTAAATGTGATCAGAGTTTGTTTTATTGTACAGTATTTTAACATCTTGCTACAAATGACTGGCTCTTATAGTACTTTTACAGTAGCCTGATAGAATACATAACATTTTGTGCCTTGGAAATATTGTTATTTACCAAAATGCTGGTAATTATTTTATGTATGCTAAGAGTATGTGCATTTCATATTCTTCTGTATGTGCCGTACTTAAATTGTAAATATAATGATTTCCTTTTTTTCATAAATGGATTTAGTCTATTCTAAGTCATAATTTTAGGATTAAAAAAAAACATTTTTGTCTCCTGAACAACCCCTTAACTGTGACTAGATAGTGATGTATATGTACTGTATGCATACAGTACATTTCAGGAGAAAATGTCACACTCATTTGTTGTTTTAAAAATTGGTCATTTACTACCAATTTACGATTACTGCCTTCAGTGAGAAGGGTAATTACAAACTTTTAATGTGAACAGATAATAAATGTCAAGGCTATATTTTTACATACAAGTGTGCTGCCGTTTATTTTTTGCTCCTATCTCTTTTTGAATCTTATCTTTAGGTCACAGAAGCTGCTGTGTACATGTATAAACAGCATACTATAATTTCAGTGGGTGGTCTGAACAAACATTTCAATAAGCTTTTTTATTTGCGAGACATATTTTTATATAGTCTTCTGGGAAAACCAACTTAAACCATTCTAAAATGGTTTGCTAGTCTGGATTTATAGACCAGCTTTACCAGCAAAATCGGTAGACTGGTTTAAGATTTTTTTTTCAGCAGGCAGTTGAATTGTGATCACGCATGTCCATCTCTTTCCAAATGACAAACCCTATTTAATAGCAAAAGTTTTCCAGAGGAACTTTTAAGGCTCACAATCATCTCCAGCTGTAAAACCTGCTTCAAAACAAGATGATAAAAGTGAGTGTACGTGGCAGAGCATGGTCAAGGATTTTTAGTGCTGGGGGTGTGTGCTGCTCAACACTGATAAAAGACAATAAACCAATTCATACAGCAGACGCCTTTACTGATAATTTCTCTTAAGAAATCTGTCAGGGAAAGATATTAACAGATGTGCCAATTACTGAATGAATCACGTTAATCACATCTATAATTCAATAAACCTGGTGTCAAGTAGCGTTTAAGATATAATTCAACATGTTTCGTAACTGTTTCAAACACTTAGGCCACTAAGATGTGACAAGATTGTAACAAAATGTACTGCATATTAAAAGATAAAAGTAGATTTTTATAACAAAGAGCAAGTCAATGAATGTTGCAATTATGCCACCGAGCTAGGAAAGTGTGAATTGTTGTCATTTTAGCTTTTTGCAAAATATCCCCTTCTGTATTGGGTTTGAAAAACGGGCCCGAACCCCGAAAAGCTCGCTCTGTCTGCTGTCATTGGCCAAAAAAATCCATAGCCCCGCCCCCAAACTCACGCCATTGGGTGAGCTGGTAGTGACGTCTGGATCCTCAAACAAGGACACACCGAGCAATGGTTTGATAGCGATAGAATCACATTGTTTACATGTTAGGTTGACTCAGACTCGCTCAGACGGCTGATTTCTTACCTATAATCTGCATATTAAGCTGAGATATCTAAATGTTTTAACTTACATCATATAAAAAAACACACTTCAGCTTTAATGGGGAAAGGGCGTCATGCATCACATGATAGAGCGTGACCAATGGTAGAACGGCTTCTTCCTCTACACACGGAACTGATTGCGGATTTATTTGGCAGGTTGGTAATATTCACTGTTTTGATTTCTGTTCTGTTTATGTGAAGAGCATCACCATTTCAACGCTTAAAAAGCTGAAGCTATCACGTCAAATTTCCCCATTCAGATTTTTAAAGTATTATTCCTAAATATGTTATTCATATATTTAATTGCAGTGCTTCATGAGCGTTAGAAAGAATCACATTGTGTTTAGCTATGGGTCTGACATCAGTTATTAATTTTTTTTTGTTTTTTTTTTTGTTTTCTTGTGCATATGACAGTACAGTTATTGTTTAAGCATATAAATCCAACTACAGCTGTTTCTCATAAAAGGACTTGCTATGTATAGGAAATAATACCATGATTACTTTTTTAATGGTCACCCAAAAAAGAAAGATTGATCTTTACACTAGATTTATTATATTGAAATATAATAGGGATTAGAAAATAGTTCTTAAATAGCTTTATATCTAATGCACCCACAGTAAACTTATACGTTTCAAATACAATGCAATACAAATATAAAATACATTTGGTGAAGGATAAATGTCAGCCTCATACAAACCTGAATTTGCACTACTTCTAAAGAATGACCCATATATAGTGCTTGATTGTATTTTCTAAATGAAAACATACCAATAAACTGCTGTATGTCTGTCATTTACATGTGTCCATATTTAATAGTCCATGGCAGACCAGAATGGTCACATTGATCTTGGCCCTCCAAGGGAAACAGTGGCAGGTGTAGGCTTCCCAGCTCCTCCTCCACCCATCTACGCCTGCACCCTTACTACTGAGCTGGTGGCCAAGGCTCGGGAAGAGCTCCAGGAGAAGCCTGAATGGAGGCTCCGGGATGTCCAGGCATTGCGAGATATGATACTAAAAGACCACCCTAATCTGAGGACACGGTTAGACGATGCATTTCTGCTGCGCTTCCTCAGGGCCAGAAAGTTCGATTATGACCGGGCCCTTCAGCTTCTCCTGAATTATCATGCCAACCGGAAAGCCTGGCCTGAGGTGTTTCAGGACCTGAAGCCCTCTACAGTCAAGCACGTCCTAGATCTGGGTTTTCTCACTGTCCTTCCCAGACCAGACCCTCATGGACGCTACATACTGTGTTTACGGCCAGGTAATAATTGAACTGATGAAGGCTTCTGCTTATACAGCCATGACCAAAAGTATTATGTGAACAAAGTTTGTGTTTTGCTAAGTTTGCTGCTTCATTATTTGTTTGTTGATTCTTTTTTCACATGTTTCTGTGGTATACTGGATAACAATTGTAAGTATTTCATAAGTTTTAAAGACTTTTATTGGCAAAAACATTCAATATGCAATGAGTCAATATTTACAGTGTTGACCCTTCTTCACAATCTCTGCAATTTGCTCGGGCATGCTGGATATCAGCTTCAGGTCCAAATCCTAACTGATGGCGATTCATTCTTGCCTTATTAGTGCTCGGAGTTGATCCAATTTGTGGACTTCTGCTTGTCCACTTGCCTTTTGACGATTGACCACAGGTTCTCTATTGGATTAAGATCCAAGGAGTTGCCTGGCCACGGATCCAAAATTTAAATGCAATGATCTCCAAGACACTTCATTATTACTCTTGCCTGATGACATGGTGCTCCATCATGCTGGAAAATGCACAGATCAACACCAAATTGCTCCTGGATCGCTGGGAGAAGTTGCTCTTGCAGTAAGTTTTTATACCAGTCTTAATTCATGGCTGTGTTTTGGGGCAGAAATGTGAGAAAGCCCTTTCCCTTGTTTGAAAAGATACCCCACTCATGGATGGTCTCAGGATGCTTCTCTGTTGGCACGACACAGAACTCATGTTAGCGTTCACCTTTTCTTCTCCGGACAATCGATTTTCCAGATGTCCAAAATAGTCAGAAGGGCTTCATCAGAGAGGATAACTTTGCACCAGTCTTCTTCTGTCCAATCCTTATACTTCCTGCAGAATTTCAGTCTGTTCTTGATCTTTTTCACAGAGAGAAGTGGCTTCTTTGCTGCCCTTCTTGACACCAGGCTGTTGTCCAAAAGTCTTCGCCTCACTGTGTTTGCAGATTCACTCACACTACCTGCTGCCAATATTGAGCAGCTCAATACTAATGGTAACATGATTCCGTAGCTGATTCCTCAGTAGGAGACAGTCCTGGCGCTTGTTGGGACACTCTGGGACGTCCTGAAGCCACCTTCAGTGCAGTTGAACCTCTCTCCTTGAAGTTCTTGATGATTCGGTAAATGGTTCTTTCAGGTGCAATATTCTTTGCAGCAATTTCCTTGCATGTGAGGCCATTTTGATGCAAAGCGATGAAGCTCTTAAATCCAATCAGAATGATACTGAATTGTACTCGTTCACACTTTCCCATGTGCTGATGATATGATTAGTGAAATGTTAGCTGGTCATTTTGTGCCAGGGCCAAAAAACAAAAAAAAACAAAAAAACGGGGAAATTTGGGTTTCTTTTTGGCCAATGAAGATTTCTGCAATTATTCAAAATGCATCTGATCACTCTGCACTATAATCTAGAAACAATGTGATTCAACACCACAGCAACTGAAGCAGCAAACTTTGCTAAACACAACATTTATGTAAAAAAAAATCAATACTTTTGGCCATGGCTGTAGTTTTAACAATATAGACAATATATAAGACAATTCATATTTTTATAGAATATTGCAATGTTTATTATACTTTATGTCTTGACTACATAAGTTGGTTGGCCGATAAAAATTCACAATGTGTTTTTAAATATTTTGTCATTTGCCAAAATAGTTTAGATGGACATTAAGCTTTAATTTTGTGCACACCTTGCATTAATACTGTAACTGGTATTTTTTATTTTAAATGTTAAGGGCTGTTTAATTTTTGTATTTTCTCTCATTCTCTCTCTGATTTGTGCACCAGTGCTAGATCACAACAATCCATTGATCCAATCAGAAGAACAATATCAAGTCCTGCCCTACTTTTTTTCTTGTTCGAGAAGCCGTTTCTCTAGGATATTTGTTACAATAGAGAAGAAAACACTATTACAATTTTCCTTTAATGCTGACTTTGATAAATATGTTGCTGTTAGCAATAAAATAAAATAAAAACTAAGCATTTTTTGTCTTTCACTTTCCTAGGTAAATGGAAGCCTAATGATTACCCATTTGTGGACAACATTCGAGCTATTTATTTGACTTTAGAGAAGCTGATTCAGCCTGAGGAAACCCAAGTGAATGGAATTGTTATCCTGGTGGATTATGGGGGAGTTGGCCTCTCTCAAGCCTCTAATCCAGGTCCACTTTTGGCAAAGAAAGTTGTTGGTATCCTTCAAGTAAGACATTGCAAAAGTGATTAATTACGATGAAGTCATTGATTTTGGCATGAGCACTGATCGGCTGCTTTTGTGTTTCAGGATGGCTTCCCAATCAGAATAAAGGCTGTAAACATTATAAATGAGCCACGTATCTTCAAGGGTATTTTTGCGATAATTAAGCCATTTCTGAAAGAGAAAATGGCAGAGAGGGTAAGTAACTAGCTACTTATCCTGGTATTTACACACAGACATGTCTAGCATAATAATACTATAAACAAGGGCCTCTCTTTCTCCAACAGTATGTCCTGCATGGCTCAGACTTGGCCTCTCTCCATCGAGTCATTCCTCAATCTGTGCTGCCTCAAGAATATGGAGGAGTGGCTGGAAGACTTGACATGTCTGCCTGGTCCAGAATGCTGCTGGAGGCTGAGGAAGAGTTTGTGGTGGAGTTCTGTCAGCCGGATCCTCTGGAGGGAGTCATTCTGCCAGACTCCATGCTGTTTGAGGGAGAGCAAGCTGGGGCACATGGAGAGGACACCTTCAGACATCTGCGTTCCCAGCTTTATTACTGTTACTGACCTCCTGGCAACGTGCAACTGGTTCTTTTGAAACATTTGTTTAGCTATGACCAACTATATATTCACAGTGTGATGAGGTCACCGGATCAGTCCGACCATTTAAAAGATCTGGTACAGACAGCCACTTAGATGCTGGATATACACCCATTGCTTTGGCTTAACCTGGTAACCCTGCATTTTAAAAACTTGATTCAAACCTCCAAACAATATCCTTTTGAGAAGGAGCCCTAGGTTTTAATATATAATCAGTCTCTATATGTTTTCAGTTATACAGTGAGCATTGAAATGTCTAAAATAGTTGTTTTCAGCGCTATATCATTTTATGTTACATCTCAAATTTTATATTACATCTCAAATAATGCTTGCCTTAATTTACGGTGAAGGGAATATTATTTATATTTATTTAGATTATTTAGTACATTGGAGATAATCACCCATGTCAATTAAACACAATGCAATAACAATGTGCAATTTTAAATTGAAAAACCTCTGTACAGAGAATTATTTTATCCTACAATAAGGATATCCTAGAATTAAATAATTACCATGTTTCTTTTTGGATTTGTGGATTGAACAGCTCTAAATTTGTTTCTTTTACTTTTCGCAAGTGTGCATCACTGAATTTACTGAATTGATTTTCTGTACACAATACCTTTGTCCATATAAGTTACATGATAAGCTTTAGAATTAGTAAGACATCAGATAGTTGTATGTTTACAATATATTAAGCTGATGTGAGGTTGCTCAATACTTTACATCCTGACTACATAACATTTTTAAAGTTGAGTGGCCAATATAAAATTCACAATGTATGGTTGTATATTTTCATTTGCCAAAATAGTTTAAATGGACATTAATCTTTAATGTTGTGTACCTTGTATGGATAATTGAATAGAAAATGTAATTCATTTTTTTGTCTTACTGAGCACATTTATGCCTAAGTTTCAAGCCTTATGTTTGATGCCAGTTTTGTAGCCGTATCTTATTATCTAAACACTTTATTATTTATGTTTGTGGAAACAGCCAATAAATATAATTTTCGGAGTTAAGAGTTCATTCTTTTATTTTCGGTTGACTGGTCAAGTGCTGTGTAGCATGGAGTTTGACAGAAGATGGAGCCATACACCATTTGACAAACTTTTTCCACTGGCACACTTCCCCCTTTCCCCTATAGCTGGCGAATAGAATACATTTGTCTTCAGATGCCAAGTAATACTATAAAAAACATTAGAGTAGAGTTATAACAGTAAAAACACCCTAAGATAACATCTTCTTAAAAGTATATACCGTGCAAAAGACATATCTTAATTTGTTTATTTTGCTGACAGTGGTGGCTATACGTTGCCACAGTTTGTAATAGAACAATCATTGTAGTGGTATTTTGGCGGAAACTGTGGTTACCATGGTCATTTTGTAAGGGAATTCAACACTCGTAGTCACCTGCTCGGCTGCTCCAAGCTTGGAAACTTGCTCCTCTTCATAAATCTCTCCAAACAATGTCAAAAATTTTTTTTTTGAAAGTCACTGTTCAGCGCACAATTTGACCGCAAGCAACTCCGCGTGGAGTCGTGAAGAGAAGTGCTGTTATTGGTAAGAGAGCAGACGGAGTGTGATTGGCTGTGGGATCCACTCCATTTTGGAAACAGCTGTTTAAAGCTCTATCCCTCTTGCTACAATAGACTGTCAGACTCAGAGGAGCGTTGGATTTGACTTGGAATCTCGGAATTGAATCTGTATGGAATGAGGGAAGAGCGTTTGGAAATGAAGGGAAATCCCGACAAAGAGTGAATGTCGTAGTAACAAGTGGAAGAAAGTGAAGCGGATTAAGGTTAGTGCTTGTTACAGTAATGATGGGTGATTGCAGCCGACATAGTTTTGATAGTGAAACAACAGGCGTTGCAAATGTAACAAAACACATTGACGCATTGATGTATTAGGCTATGCTAAACATATGCATAAAGATTGTAGTTAAATTGCAGTTTTGCTGTCATTTGTGACGCCTATTTGTAGCCTTATAGACTTTCAAGTATGGAGGAGTCGTAATGTAAGGAATTATTTTGCTTAAATCTAACATTCATAAGTCGACAAAATATTTAAAAGAAATTGAAAAGCTCCTCCGTCCAAATGTATAGGCTAGTTGATTTTTTTTTTTATTTTTATAAAATGGCCTGTGTTCTTTTTTTTCTTTACTTGGACATTGTTTACCAGTAGCGTTTCTCAAGTGTTGCTTTTATAGGCAAAAAACAACATATTTGCCAATAAATATTCAGTGACCTTAAAGGGACAGTTCAACCTAAAATTAAAATTTACCTACCATCATGTTGTTCCAACTCTGTATGACTTTCTTGTGTGTACAACGAAAGGAGATGTTTTTTAAAGGATTGACAACCTCACTCTTCCAGTGACTTTTCCACATAATGAAAGGCAGTCTGCCTGACAACAGGAAGATTAGTGACTGATGACAGAACTCTCTTTATGCAAAACCAGTTGCATGTTTTTAAGCAAAAGCCTTTATATACTATCATACTTGCAAGAAGAGGAAGTATTATCATGACTCATAGGAGGAACTTGTCAGAGACTGCTCGCTCTCACATGCATATTAAAGGTTAGTTCAGGGGTGTCCAATCCTGCTCCTGGAGGGCCACCACTAACGTCATGCAAAGTTTAGCTCTAACCCCAATTAAACGCACCTGAACCAGCTAATCAAGGTATCACTAGACATACTAGAAACTTCCAGCCAGGTGTGTTGAGGCAAGTTGGATCTAAACTCTGCAGGAGTTGTTCAACTCTTATTGTTTCAACTCAATAAGACTTTCGTTTATCTTCGGAACACAAATGAAGCTATTTTTATTATTCTCTCATTATTTTATCTGTACTTTGAAAGTCCAACCAATGAAAATTTTCATGTGCATCAAGCAAGTGTGTTTAAGCTTACTTTTACCATATTTGATGTATATTTATGTGCATTGATCACTGTTTACATGAGACTACTAGCCTTTATATAAAGCATTCTGGATTAAACCGCTTGATTCATATGGATTTATTTTACAGTGTCTATACAAATCATGCTTGTGTGCAAAAGTAATGAGGGAATTGTTTTGAAGATGATCAAAAGTCTTATGAATGGGAAACTGAAAATGCAAATTTTTGGGTGAGCTATCCCTTTAAGAGCACTTTGCATGAGTTCAGCAGTAATGTAGTAACAACAAAGAGATCAGCCATGCCATTTCAGTGGTTCAATCATATATGGACATTTTTATTATGATGTAGTGCTTTGGCAGCACACTCGTGAAGATGAGCCAAAGACATTATACAAATCGAATGTAATCTCTTTTAGTGTATGTGTGTGCATGTGGATGACCTGTTTACTTTGATCTTGTGTATTTATTATGCAAGATGGTCAGTTTTTAGCTCTTTCACTTGTGAGGAATCAGTTGTTTAGGTCACTACATTTATGATATCCCTTGCCAGAACAGGAGGAGGGTCCCTTGAATTCAAAGACATCATGGACTTGATTCACTGAGGCGTTTTGATGAGTCGCACATCAACAATGAATGAACAATCTGAAGTGGAACAATCAGTTCATTGTCGTCAGCCTTTTAATTTTTCATAGTCATGTGAGCTGTGTAAATGTATCCGGACTATTCGTCTGAAACTAATTCTGAGTGAATGTTAATATTTGATGGTGCAATGGACTTTATGCTGTATTGAACAGATTGATTGGTGCTGTAATGAACTTTATGATATGTAACTTCAGTTTGTACTATACAACCAAGAAATCGTTGGTGTATTTTGCTCTCATGAGCTTGGTTGTCCTACTTTCTATCTATGGCCCAACAACTTCACTATAGCAACTGCTTTTTTGGACCTCTGAGTCAAAAGATGTTATTCGAGCAAGTCATCATCCACTTGGCTTCTTCAGCTAGAGTAGGCTGATGAAATGGCAGGTAGTGGTACTCAAAGATGTGTTGTGACTATTATCATTTATCATTGTGCTGTAGCAGAAGCATTATCCTCAGCTGGCAGCACTCTGTTTGGTAAGTGCATTCTGGCTCTTTGCTTTAAGTGAAAAGTTCATTTGCATGACACGTCCAGGTCAGGCTATGGCAAGAGTTTCGCGTCAGTACTTCAGCCATTATCATGCCACGGTATCCGTTGATGGGTTTTGTGGTTGTTTTTGTTTCAATTTGTTTTCCTCTATTTTTATAAATGTTTTTCTAGTTGGCCTAGTGGATAGGCTACTTAACTGTCTCGCATTTTGTTGATTCATGAATTTAAATATATAAACTACTCCGTTCAAAGCAGAGACTATTTGTGGGGTCTCCCACTGAGTAGCTTTGAATTGAAACCGATGTAAACTTTTACTTTTAAGCTTGACAAAATCCTATTTGTTACCCTGAAATAATTTGGTGTGCAGACTGTGCACAAGTGCTTTGATTGAATTGTAGTACTGCAATGTCTTGAGGGCCTCATCAACAAGGCTGTTGATATATTATAACATTATTGCTGGGAAGCAATTCTCCACTTAATTATAGCCTGCTGGGAGAGCTGTTCAGATTATTATTTTTATTGCACATGAAACTTATAGAATCAACACAATGAATTTATACAACTTAATATATGTATTTCAGGAATTGACACAGCTGTCGCTGAATGAATCAGGGTTGACACTTTCTCATTTGAAACTTTCTTTTTTTCACTCCATCCACAGTTCTCTTGATCCATTTTCCACATTAAATAATTTCAGTCGATTTTAGTGTTATTTGAGTATTTATATACTAAAGGTTTTATTGAGGCTTTTATTTTAATATTTTCAGGTTTTCTTTTCTTTTAATTTAATTTTGTCAATTTATGTGCTTTTGTCTTTTCTTTTCTTTTTTAGGGCTGTCACGATTCATAGATAAAATTTGAGTACTCGATTTAAAAAAATCCTTGATTGCAATTTACCCGTGTCGATTAACCGGTGTTGTGCCGAATTTCGACCCCCTGCCAAATTATTACCCCCCTAGCATTGGTGGGTTTAGGGTTGGGGGAGGGGTTAGGATTGGGGGAGGGGTTAGGATTAGGGGTGGGGTTAGGATTAGGCAATCAGGTACTGCCTTCAATGAGGGGGGTAATAATTTGGCACAACACCGGCAAAACACCGGAAGTGGCGTATTCCAAAGACATTAATCCATTATCCGCATTATTAGACAATTTTATAAGGCTGCACGATATATTTTTAACCATTTAAAAATAATGATAATAACATAATGCTATTGTGAGGTCACAAAGTCTGCAATTCCATTAAATAAGTAAATATACTGCTGTTTTCAGAGTGAAGCGCAATGCTTTAATTATTTACATGCGTAAATAATTGTATTTACTTCCAGCGTCACAGAGCAGCTCTGTTCACAGTAAATGCTGCTCCACACAAACCTGCATATGCTGTGAGTTTGGGTTGCTTATAACGTTCATCTGGAAATGCAACGTGCGCCATTTCGCCAGATCTGTAATGTAAACCACAGAAAAATACATCAATATGTTTCTAAAAATGCGAATTGTTGTTCATTGCGATTTCAAAATAAAATTAAACCCTCGCTGTAGCATTTTTATCGTAAAAAAGTGGCCAAATATTAAAGATTAAGTGGACCTTTGAATAAAATGTTGTTTGGCCACACTATTAAACAAGGATTTGATCTGCTATAACAGATCAGTGTAACAACAACAATCACCAGGCCTTTGGCACCCTCTGCAGGCATTTGCTAAATGCATAATGTACATAAGTTTATTTGTTTATTATGTTTTGTATATTACCGTAGATTATGTATTTTAAGTGTTGTTCAATAAAACCATATAATTTATTATTTACAATTTATACAATTTATTATTATTGTCTCAGTGTATGTATTTGTAATTTTAAAGGCTATTGTTCACTTATTTTTATTACAAAAATCTGAATACCCAATTAATCGTCAAAATAATCGACCGCTTTTCTTTATTTTTTAAATATTACTAAATGGGTTTAATTTATTTTATTTCAGTTTGAGTTGATTTATTTACCATAATTTGAATGCTTTATTTTAGATATTTGCCAAAGTAAAATGTTTAATCTTTTATAGCTTTACTGTTTTTAATAGATTTAGTTTTAGATAACAATAATAACCATGGTCTATATTCTAGGTAATCTTTTATCATGTAAAAAAACAAACAGTTTGTCACAGATGCCTCACAGCTGTTCCCTGAATACATGTAATCAGCATAATCTGAATAAATTAAATTACATGTGTATTCTTTTCTCACTGTTTTATGCTGCTTGCTCTGGCCTTTTACTGTGCAGATTAGTAAAAATAAATTGAAATAATTTAAATCAATTCTTATTCATGTCCTTGACAGCAGCACACAAGAGCACATTGAATTGCAAAATGTAGGTCAAGAGAGACCCTTATGAATCTATTGGCCATCTGTTTATTAATAAAAAAATATATTTTTAATGTTTGTATAAAATCATCTCCTCAAATATCTTCTTCAGTGTGTTTTATAACAATCATAATGGTTTTATTTGGACATGCACAGCCTGTAAATGATCATGATTAATAATATGCACCTAATAATAATTAGGGTTGTCAAGCGTACCGGTACTTTTGGTACTTAAAAAAAAAAGAAAAAAAGTTGACTGTACCAGCATTTCTGCAGTTCCGGTAGTACAGAGTTCTGGGTATATTCGGTACGCTCCTTTCAAATGCGCTCGTACTCGTTTGTTTGTTTATTTGAGCGCTCTCTGAGCGTCAAAGGTTTCTATTTACAGTTGTTGGTTTTTTTTTTCATTGTAGCCAATCAATCATTGAGTGCCTAAATGCAATGGCTTATCAGAGTTGTTAGTCAGAATGGGCTTAAAGCTGAAAACGCACAAGTTTTTTTTTTTGTTCAACGCGAGCTGCATTCTTGCGAATCCTTTCATTATAACCAAAAAAGTGTGCTTAAGAGATTGACGGCCTTACTGATTATAAAGGGAGGCTCTTCTCTTGCTTTCTGTTTATTACCCATTCACAATCTGAATACAAGTTTAGTTCTTCATGCTGCTAAGTACACTGCAAGGATCAACGACTGTATTTGAATGCATGATTGAATCAGAAACTGCGATTATTGTCACTGAAAACCAATGGATGACAAAAATAAAGTACTTAATTCAAGAGGTACTGAGAACCGTAGAATTTTACTAGTAATTTTATTGGTAGTGACTACTAAAATTTTGGTACCGTGACACTGATAATAATAATAGCCTAATAATAAGACAATTAATTGTATGCATGTATGTATGCGTTTATTTATGTAGTAAGTATGGGAATTTGCATTTCACTTGGCTCAAAAACTGCCATGGCAGTTCTGATTGGAATAACGGCTTAATCAGGTTATGGCAATCCGGTTAAAGTGTTAACACGCTTACATCATTGAAATATGATCGAATTACGATATTAATCTGAATTTTCATGTGCATGTAAACATGGTCAGTGTGCCTTTAATGCACTTATGTGGGCTATGGCCAAAGCCGTTGGTCAGATTCATTCAAGCTGTCATTCAACATTTGAAAGCATCTCTCAGGATATGTTTTGCTTGTCTTCCTCTCTTCACAACTCAGAGCAAATCAAATCACTTTACGCCCACATCCTCCCTGATCTGTGGGAGAGAGGCGTGCTGCAGCTGTGTGGGATCCGTTTGCTGCGGAGAGAGAGAGAGAGAGAGAGAGAGACGGGAAGGAGAAGGACAGAAAGAGAGAGAATGAGAGAGAAAGAGAGGAGGCTCCCTCATAAACCCTAGGATCAGAGGACACCGCTTTCTGTTTCTCGTGTGGACTAAAATAAAACTGCCTTTATTCAGGTCCTTGGAGAGCTTTGTAGCACCATGTCATTAGCGTTCAGAGTGCGTTTGGTAAGTAATTGAAGCTGTGTGCTGTGACTAAGTTTGGATAATGGTTGTTAGCTTGAAGTATTGGTAATTGGAAGTGAGAAGGGGTTAAAGACAGGCCAGCACAAAGAGGAAACGTACAGTGACAGGTGGTCTTTAAGACTTAACAGCTGTTCAGCTTCGTTTGCTTGTCCAGGACATTTCTTTTTAATTGCTGTCTGGGTTTGGAGGCAGTGAGCACTGGCTGGAAGATCTCTCTTACATGTCATAAAAGTATCATAGAATAATTTGCATTTCTGCTAGAGATGTTTTAACAAAAGGATGTTCAGTATTTCTTGTGCATAATTTAAGTTTATCTGCTACTATTTTTGTTTTGTTTTGTTGGACCTGCAAATATAGTTTTGAAATTTGCAAGGTACCTACCGGTAGTTTAAAGGGTGTTTTCCGGGTCCATTTATGTTGTTCGGGCTGCCAATGTGGACTAAATCTACACAAACCTGAGGTTGACCATTCAGCGAACACCTCTGTCTGTGACATTCAAGAACTGTTCTCCTTCAATAACTGTGCAGAGTAGTAGACGGATATTCAAGGAAAAGTACACCCAAAAATGAAAATTCTGTTATAATTTACTTCTCATGTTGTTCCAAAAAGAAGCATTTTTGTCCATACTATTAAAGTCCATTGGGTCCAGAACAGAGTTTTCATTTTTGGGTCAACCTTCCCATTAAGCTTAATACATATGTCTGTATTCTGTTCTTGTCTGTCTGCACACCAGATGCTCAGTGTTTCTGGCTCTGTGTATCCTCCACGCTCTCTCTCTCTCTCGCGCGCGGTAAGACCTCGGCTGCAGGAGAAGGACATAAACGACAAGGACAGACGTCCCACCTGCTTCCTGTTATAAGGCCATGTGTTGTTTAATGCAAGAGCAGAACTGGATGTGTGTACAGAGGTCCTGTCAAAGAGACAATATCCTGCCCTTTAGAGGGAAATTTCAGCCAAAAATGTCATTATTTATTTGCCCTCTTGTCATTCCACTCCAGAATGTGTTTTTCCCGATTATATATTATGTGTGTTGTAGAATATATTCTCATGGATGTTTTCATACTGATAATCTTAAGAACCACTTCTGCAACTTTCAAATTAAATGTGACGTCAAACTCGCGCCATGACTTCAAACTATTTATTTAATTTCAGAGCTACAGTGGAAGGGAAGATTTTCAGTGACTGTTTTTCAGTCTGTTCCTCAAACTAGGCGTCCATTTGGCTTCAGAAGACTTTTTATGGTGCTTTTATAGGTTTTTGTTTTTGTTGATTTTGAGCTTGACAAGCCCCTGGTCAGTATATAGAAAACCTATGTGAAAATTCTTTAATTTGTCTTAATTATTATGAGAATTCTATTGTAAAAATAATGGTTTGAAACGACATATGAGTGAGTAAATAATGACAGAACATTATTTTTGTGTGAACTCTTCTTTTCCTGATTCACGTTCCCACAACTTTGTTATTGTTAAATATGATGATTTGTTGTTTCTTTACATTTTGTCCTTATGCTGCTCTTTGTAATAGCAGGGTGCAGATGGTGGTGAGCATATTTCAGTGTGTGGCATTTGGTTTGGATAGGTACTATAATTTGTGTTCAAACCATTCATTTTCAAAGCAGCGTGATTATTTTCAGAAGGCGTATGACCTTTTGACTGTTTGTAGGAAAAGAGTTTATGTGCATAAGTGTTGTAAACTCCGTTGTAACACTTACAGTAAATCTTCTTCTTGCAATCTGAAAATGCGTGTATATTCAAATTTGGTACATCACGCTTTGTCAGGAGATGCATAAAAAATGATGAATGTTTTGCATCATTGACTTCAAAAATGTTTGATTATAAGTAAATAAATCACTTAAATTTCAGTATTTTCATTGCACAAAGCTATTGAATTAGATTAGAGTTTAAATATAGCACACGATTCAATTTTATGAAGCCCCCCCAATTTGTGGAGCCTGACATTCCCTAAAGTTCAATAAAGTAAAGTTCTCCTCCGTTTGTGTTCCATGGAAGAAAGAGATTGAAATGACATGAACATGAGTAAATACTGAAAGGATTCTTGGGAGAACTTTAAGATTTTAATCCTTCTCCAACATTTCCAGCCAAATAAACTCCCACTGTTTTCATCTGAACGGCACCACCTGTTCATGACTCGGCAAAGATTCCTCCCTTCAGTCACTGTTGTCATAGTCTGATGTGTGATTCATGGGGAAATCCTAAACCCTGTTAGCACACTCCCTCTCTCTCTCTCTCTCGCTCGCTCCACGCTGTGAATTTAATTGGGGAAAGAGCCGCATAAAAACAATAAGTGGTCATTTATGCCTCCAAACAAGCAGCGGATTGATTCAGACATCTGATACTGTTAGGCTCAGACGGAGATTTGAACTTTCTTTCTTAACAAACCATTTTCTCACTGCTCATTTTCTGGCTGGGTGATTGACTGATGGCTGGCCGCAAACTGCATCACGTGCTTGTGCATATCATCATAACTGTGGAAAACATATGCCATCTTTCATTGACACGCAAGTTTTACTTCCTTTAAAGTGGCCTAAAAGGAAACCCTTTACCAGACAGGAAAATCATTGCTTAATTGAGACCTTTTCCTTTCTCCCCAAAGAACTTTCAAGTAACTCTCCTTCTGTGCTTTCATTATGGAAAATAACTATGGACTTTTTAACCTGCATTGTCTGATGACTTTGAGTTGTTACTTTTTATTCCTGCTTGTTATAGACATGAATTGAATTTGAGTAGGTAGAAAGACAAACACCACAATCTTTTTAATCCTTTATCTTCATGAAGCCTGCGTCAGCTGCCGTGGTTGGTGTGTTTCTTTCAAATTTTGAGGCAAATACATCGGCGTCCACCTGTGCTAGGCAAATAATGTTGTGACCGTGTTGGATGTGGGTGCTGTGGAATTATTAAAGGATTTGTGTCTTTGTGTGTCGGCTCTAAAGTTCAGCTGTCTCAAACTGCTGTAACATTTGACTCGGCCTCCCTGCAGTATCCTCATTATGATTTAATATTTGCTCTGATATCAAAAGGGCTGATAGGCCACACAGGGAAATGAAGCCCATCAACTCCTGCATTAGTAAAGAGGCGGTGGTTTCACGCCTTCATCTCCCCGAGCCTTTTTAAATGCTAACACTTTGTTTCATGAAATAACACCAAATACTCGCTCTGTTAAAGGGCCCTGTGAGCTAAAAGCCTCCCGACATCAGTGCGAGGAAAATGGCTTTAATCTCGATACGGCTATCGCTTCCAAATCTTCAGTTAATTGCTTCTTAGTGGCTTTGAAAATCTCTCGCTTGTAAAGTAGCAGCCCTTCGCTCAGCACCCAGGGAGCTGAAAGGGTCTCGATGACATGAGGAAAAACATCCTAACCGCAAACATTCTGCATTAGCTTTGCAATTCTTGTCTTGATCCTCTATAAAATCCTCATGGATTGAGTGGCGGCGGTCCTGAGGCATTAGAGGAAGACGAATGAGAGTGAGTCACGTGTGGGTGACACCACTGTCTCATCCGTATGACTGCAGGCCTGGCAGCCTCTCTTCTTTCTCTCCACAGTATTCATGCCACCTCCATCGCCAATATGCCCATTACACATTTAAGAGCTATTTTGTCTTACATGCAATCTGTCAGCGTTTGGCATTAAATAGGCACTTATAGGAATTTAGACCTCTGATATATGCAAACAGAATATAAAGACCCATATATCTCTTATATTTGCATTAAATGTGTACTTGCCATGATGTATACATTTTTCTCTTTACATTTTTTGAATTAAACAAAGAACAGTTTAATTATTTTTTTTAAATGAACATTCCCAGAAATGTATCATTTAATCGAAATCAATAATGTGTAAATGAAGTTTAAATATTTAGGTCATTATCTCATTGTGTGTATTCAAAAATGGGAACAAAATGTAGATATTGCCCTAAAAATATATTAGTCACTAGTTATTGAGTCTTTAGGAGTGACTTACACAATCCATTTCAAAATGATCAGTCTCTTGTGGATCCTTGAAAATGTTGCTAATCAAGACCCCAACAGGAAGTAAATTAGACATTTTGAAGAGTTGTGAGTTTTTCAGTTTTATGATGCTAATGTGGAACTACGTTCATGTTCAGTTCAGTCCTGCAGTGTGATGCCACCACAAAATAGAGATATTTTCAACTTTAATAAGTTAAATGTTTACATATTTGCGCGACTCAAACTGTTATGACTGAGTCAAAATAACTTGTCCTGTGGTGTGACATGCTAAACCAAAGAATTTATATACGGAAAGACGGTGCACTCGTATTACTAATGGGAGAAAGTGCAATACGCAATATGGCGGAATAAGTCCCACCTTCTAAAGAAAAAAGCCAATCGCCGATCGGTAAAGTCATCGTGTCACTGCAGCTGCTGTTAGAAGCTCCGGTTTCTATAGAAACAGTCAGTGTTCTGAGACGCATTAGCTTGGTACAGCTTGAAAAATAAAAAATAAATTGTCACGATTCTAGGGTTTAGAAACACAATTTATGAGACAGTTGTTGTCAGATTTCATTGGTGATTTCAAATATAAAATTTAATCGTAAGCTTGGCGAACAGTTTGAGAATTTGATGTTTCCCCATTCAAGGAGATAGGAACTCCACTTGTATGCCCGAGAGGAGTTTCAAAGATGGCCGCCGAGTGAAATGACTTGTCTTAAAGGGACTTTGGCTAAACTGAAACTATACATGACATTTTTCCTAATTGACCTTTCGCCGGCCCCTCCCCCAAAACGGCCATTGTCCAATCACACATCATAGCAACCGTTACTATGTGAGCAGGTCCGTCAAACATTGACTCCAAGCAAGATGGTGAAGCGGTGCGCCCACGGCGTTTGTAAATCGGACACTAGGTACCCCGAGATATTGTCTGGAGGAGTTGTGTTCTTTCTGTTTCCAAAGGCGAAAACACAACGTGAGCGGTGCCTACAATGGATAAAACAGTGTGGACGGCCC